AACAAAAAAATAAAAAAAACTCACAATATTATCAACATACATATACCCACTATCAAGATTTCTCTCATTCTGTTATTCTATTGACAGTATATAACTGATCGATTCTTTGATGTTGAACGGGAAGTCATTGACCATCCCTACGACTTTATTCCCCCAGCCACACTTGCCCATTCGATATCTACCTCTCCTATAGCCCTATCTCTTTGCACAGTTCCTCTTTTGATTGTGCGAACCATCTGATAGCTCCAAGACGACTTTTTGTTTCGGAGTTACCCACAACCCTCCCTCAAGTGCGCGTCACCTGCCTTTTAGTCCTGGGCACTTATTTGCGGGCCGATTGTCTCGTGGCTTGTTTATCAACACACACACACACACACACACACGCACACACACACACACACACACACACACACACACACACACACACACACACACACACACACACACACACACACACACACGCACACACACAACTGCAGGAGAAGCGGCTGTATCGCTGCCGAGTGCTGAAAGCGCGCACGAAATCGGACAAATCGGGGAAGAAGGGGCGCAAGGAAGCAAACAGAGAGATTGCAGCCCTGATGATGGGCACTGAGGTGAGCACATAACCGACTCCTGCACTGGCAGTGGGGTCGTGGTGATGCGCAGTGTTTACCATTGCTGTATGTGTCACTGATGCTTTATTCCGATCATCTATCATGTGTGTGTGTGTGCATGTGTGTGCATGTGTGTGTTTGTGTGCACAGAACAACTTCCTTGGCGACCATCTTGATCTGGGGCTGTACGAGGCAACAAAGGCCTTTGCCGACAACGCAAACGTATGAGTGCGCGGTGTTGACGAACAAACAAAAGTGGAGATGGAGTGGTGTGCACTTGTCTGTGCGCATGCATGTGTGAGTGTGCGTCTACTGTGTACTGTGTACTGTGTACTGTGTATGACATCAAGTCGACCGCGAACGCGTTTCATATGCACCAACCAAGCCCTCACCATCACACTTGTGTCCGCGCCGCTTGTCAGCACTACGATCCAAAGCTTCCGCGGAATGAGCTGTTCCAGGCGTCGCGCAACGCGTGGACGTGCTTTGCACTCCAACTCCTCTTCTACCGAGAGCACCTCGGCTTCAACAGTGAGTCCATGCGCGCGCGTGCGTGCGTGCGTGTGTGTTGTGTGTGTACGTATGTATGTGTGTGTTGTGTGTGTGTATGTGTCTGTGTGTGTGGGGGGGGGTTGTATTCGCGTTTGTATATTCTTCATGCTCGTGCCTGTCAACATCTCACATGGGTGCACGCCGACAAAATGCTTGTGCGTGCGCCAACACAGGGGCAATTCAGGGCTATTCGATGCTGTATCCGTACTCAGACAACTACCTCGACAACCCGCGCATCGACAAGAGCGCAAAGAAGACGTTCCAGGTGAGATAAAGGCGAACGAGATGAGGAGAGGAAAGGGATAAACATGCACGAGTGTCATGCAGTGGAGCCAGACCAGAAGGGATTGGCGTGCCTCTTGCTCACACACACACACACACACACACACACACACACACACACACACACACACACACACACACACACACACACACACACACACACACACACACACACACACACACACACACACACACACGCACGCACGTGTCGTTGTGCGTATTTGTAGCTATGCGCGGGCGCGACACGCACGCACCCGTGTCGGATGAGGAGATGAAGGTGTTTGAACATGTACTGCGCACATGCCCACGACGCAGGCGGTTGGTAATCGTTGACATCGTGGCGGCGTGGAGCGGGATGCAGTGGCAGCTGATCCTCTCATGTCATGTTAACACGACCGCTTCTGGCTCATGCTCGACTGCACACACACACACACACACACACACACACACACACACACACACACACACACACACACACACACACACACGACAAGCATCCATACGCTGTTCTCACGAATGTAATATGTAAATGTTCCTCCAAATGAGCAGGATATTCTCCTGGATGCAAAGGAGCACCAGCACACGGTGTTCACGCTGTGTTACTGCCGTTCCCAGGCCATTGATCCCTACGCCAACAAGCTGCTGCAAATGCTCAACGTGATCCTCGAACCCGCACGACAGCTCACCCCCGCATCGCAAACCGTGCAGTGAGTTTTGAAGGCTGAGTGATTGCGTTTGGTGCTTTCGCACTCGTGTTCATTGCTTATTCGTTCCTTTTTTCCCACGTCTCCACAACCCCTCACCAGCCCCGCCTTTCTCAACAAACAAACAAACACACACACACACACACACACACACACGCACGCACACACGCACGCACGCGCACACACACGCACGCACACACACACACACACACACACACACACACACACACACACGCACGCACTTGTATGCAGAAATTTGCGCCAGCAGCTGTTGCATATGACGTATTCAATGGTTCTCAAGAGCATCATCAAGTCCAAACACGTGTTCACATCGGCTTATCTGAAACACATGGAGGGGTACGCGCCCCTCCCCTTTTCAAGTCTCGTCAAAGTGAATTCCATGCGTCATTTGCTCGATATGATCTTCGCTGACTCAATTTGATTCGTCTGTGTGAGTGACATAGTGTGTATGTGTGCGAGGGTTTAGATCTCGTGAGCGTGTGGTGCCTCCTCTTCTTACTGCTGTGTCTCTCGTCTGCTTTCTCTTTCTCTCGTTTGTCATCAACACCACACGGTGCTCTCCTTTGGCTTGTGTGCGTTGCTGCTGCCCTGTGCTTGTACACTAGGTTCTACCCATGTCCTCTTGCGTGTGCACATGTGGACATGTGCCCTCTCTTTTGTTCGTATGTGTGTTGGTGGTCGAGTGCGGTGTGGAGTGCTGTGCTGTTGGAATACAAAGAAAAAACGAAACTGCCAAGTAGCTTACCCAAGTCGTGCTGTGTCGCTTGCAGCATTGGTTGTATGATGTTTGTACAAGCAAGCGGGGTCCAACACACACACGCGCACACATCCGCACGCGCATGCTAGCAAGTAACAACTCAAGGCCCCTTCACGCCGCCACACGGACGGGCAGACAGGTACACAGACAGAGAAAGAGACAGACAGTCAGACACACAGACATGGCGTGGTGTTTACGCTGCTTCTGTGGCGTCGACCTCTGTTGGGATGATGGCGAGACCGGACGTGGAGAGGAGAAACGCGAGCAGCACCTGCACACCGGCGACACCGACAGCAAACACAGACCCCTGCACGCAACACACGACACACACGACACACACGACACATACATACATACATACATGCATACATACATACATACATACATACATACATACATACATACATACATACATACATACATACACACAAGAGTAGCAAAGACGCATTTGGATGCGTGAGTGAAACACACGGTGAGTGCGCACGTTGCGCGTACGTGTATGCGTGTACACGCAGGGCAAAAGCAAACTGTTCTGTGCTTGTTGCATGTGCGAAAATGTGATTCGAACCTTTTTTGAGGCGGTTGATGCTGCGAGCGAACGGAACTGCGGAAGAACAAGGCGCACAGACAACATGCGTGCAGGCAGACGTGAGTGTGTAGGTGTGAGAGCGTGCATGTTGTGTGTGTGTGTGTGTGTGTGTGTGTGTGCGAAGACGTATGTGCGTCTCCATGCTCGTGTGCGTGCACTGCATGCCGGACCGTGAAGTAGAAGAGAGCAGCAGCAACCCATCCGCACGCGAGATAGTACACCGTCGCCGATCGCGAGATGACCGTGGCCAAAATCGCAACAATCACGCTGGTGGTGGTGATGATATGACGGTGGTTGTGGTTGAGAGGCGGGTGAGAACAGGTGAGGATATGTACGCGATGGCTTTGCGCAGTCACTTTTCATGAGGGAGGGATGCAAACGAGAAGAGGAGGGCAGAAGTCAAGTGCAGCAAACGCCCATACACACATACACACAGAGGCACAGACACAGACAGACAGACACACACACACACACACACACACAGACAGACAGACACACACCCCAACACACAGACACACAACCACCAAGGGCACGGCTCACCTGACAAACTTGTAGGAGGTAAACGCCATGATGTCATACAAGGGAGCTTGGACCCCCAAGACAAACGATGCAAGTTTCGCAGCAAGGTTCTGGATGAAGGGGGGGGGGGTGGCCCAAAAAGGGTGCAGATGGTGGAACAGCAAAAACAACACACGTGAGCACAGGACAGCATGCAGTGTGTGCATTGTGCACGATTCTGCAAACAAGACGCTCAGGCGAGAGCCCGATAAGAGACACAGCACAACAAAGAACTGCACACACACACACACACACACACACACACACACACACACACACACACACACACACACACACACACACACACACGCACGCACACGCGCGCGCACACGCGCGCACCTCGAAGACGAGGAGGCCGATGGTGGAGCTGCAGAGGAGGCTGAGCTGCTCGGCGTTGAAATTGCCGGTTGCGCCCTGCACCCAGCTGACGAGCAGGATGTATGTCACCAGCGCCATGGACGGGATGTACAGGTCGGGTGACCGCTTGTCCTCTCGTGGCGTCATCGCCTTGTCGTCCTTGATGCCCCGCTCCCAGCTCTATGATGTGAATGTGTGCGTGTTGTGTGTGTGTGTGTGTGTGTGTGTGTGTGTGTGTGTGTGTGTGTGTGTGTGTGTGTGTGTGTTAGCAGGAGGGGAAAGGCTTGCTGTACAGAGCAGGTGCAGACAGCTGCACACGTGTCAAGCACGCACTGGCACAGACACCCATACCCACAGACACACACACCCATACAGCAGGAGTCCACCTTCTGAAGGTACGGGAAGAGCAGTAGCTGCAATTTGAGGGCCACATATTTGTTGTCAACCTGAGACAGCACCCAACGCAACCCAGTGCCGTGTGAGTACAGCAGTGCTGGCTGCAACGTTTGTCGTCCCTTTCACAGCAACAACACGCACGCATACGCACAGCGCAACTGCGCTTACATCAAAGTAGTATTTGAGCTGGTTCACGTTCACCATGCCTTGCACGCGCTGTGAGACGTTACCCAGATGCCTGACGGATGCGGTGAAGCAAGCAGTGCAGCGTTGAGTGAGAGAATCGCAGATGCACAATGAAAACACATTCTCCCGTGCGCGCAAAAGCGCGCGTGTGTGTGTTTGTGTGTGCGTGTGTGTCCGAGCTGCACACGAAACTGACTGTTGAGCAGCGTAGGAGACGGCGCTGGTCATGAGAGGGCCTGTGCGTGGGATGACCAGCAGTGCATGTTCTCGTGAGCGTGACACTCAAACACGTGGAAACACGTCGGCGATGCTCTGGCACACAGACACCCTCCACCGTCCCATCGAACACAATCTAACTAACTCGCACTCACACCCACTCACACCTACCTTGGAGCGAGGATGGATCAAAGGGGTTGGTGATGGGCGGGGGTTGTGGCTGTGCAGACCCTGGCGGTGCCATGGGTGGTGGCTGCATGTGTTGCTGTTGTTGTTGCTGTGGAAAAGGCTGTTGCATGGGTGCCTGCTGAAAGCCGCCATGCTGTTGCTGTTGTTGACTGCTGTCAACATAAAACCCTGTGTGCATGTGTGTGTGTGTTGGTGGGTGGGTGATTGGGTGGGAGCGCAGTTCAACACACACGCACAAACGCACACGCACAATTGCAAGGGACGACACCCGAGGCAAGGCATGCAGTCACAGTCAACCCATCATCAAAACCAACCCTGCTGGTCCATCTTCCTCTCCTTCCTCTCTTGCTGCTTGCTTGCTTCTTGCTTGCTTGCTTGTCGTCTTTGGCTTGTGGTTGGCAGTTGCAGGGTGTGAGGTTAAAATTGCCTTTGGCCGTGGTCAATTTTGACATTGGGACGAACACACACGACGACAGACACCAACAGCGACGATGCCAAAGAAGGGTGGCAAGAAGCAGCAGCAGCAGGCTGCGCAGAGCAGACCGCCAGCAGAGGCTGACCTGGAAGAGATTGACGATGACGACCACACAACACAGCAAGAGCAACAAGAGGAAGAGGAGGTGCGATGCACGTGTGTATGTGTCATGTGTGTGTGTAGTGTGTGTGTGTAGTGTGTGTGTGTAGAGTGTGTGTGTGTAGTGTGTGTGTGGTGCGTGTGTGTGCAGTGTGTGTGCACGCGTGCAGCGCTCGTGTGGAGTGCGTGTTCCATGTGCACGTTTTCGTGTGTGTGTGTGCACGATGTTGATTGTGGCAGCTGGTCCATGTGGCAGCTCGTCCATGTGACAGGTGGTCCATGCGACACCTGGTGCACACACGCATATATCAGACTCATCACAGCTTGCCAAGCTCACCACTGAACGCCATGTTACCTCTCAACTCGGCTCTTGGAGCAGGCTCCCAAGCACGACAAGAGCAAGCAGGATCTCGCCCGCGTCAATGCCGGCGACGACCAAGACATGGGCTCTGAATCTGCATCACAGGCTGCCGCAACACAGCTCAAACGCAACAAGCAGCGCGCAGAAGAAGCCGCCCGCAGGTGCGCCTTTGTGTGTTATGGCGTCAACGTTGAATTTTAGGGTTGGGGAGAAGAACAGTGCCAAGCTTGGGCACGCCGGCACCGTCATGTCTTAGCACAGACACGGACACACACACACACACACACACACACACACACACACACACACACACACACACACACACACACACACACACACAGACGCACACACACACACACACACACACACAGACGCACACACACACACACACGGACATACACAGACGCACACCCCCCCCCCCCTCACCCACTCGCCAACCAACTCTCTTCTCCGTGCTCATGCACACAATTGCAGGCAGAAAGAGCTTGCGAGTGTCAAGGTGAAGGAGGAAGACATTGACTTGATTGCGGAGCAGATGGAAACCACAAAGAAGCAGGCAGAACAGGTCTTGCGTGAGAACAAGGGCAGCCTCAAGGACGCACTCAAGGCCCTCCTCGTTCGGTGATGTGATTGGCGTGCTTAGTGTCGTGTGCTGCTTCAGTGTTGTCGATTGGTGTGCGTGTTCTGTTGTGCTTGAGGTTGTGCATGCGCGATGGTGTAATGAGTTCTCTACAAGTACAAAGAACGAGCAAACGACGCAAGCAAGCAAGCTTGTGTTGCATGGAGAGGTAGCGTGTGTGTGTTGTGTGTGTGTTGTGTGTGTGTGTGTGTGTTGTGTGTGTTGTGTGTGTGTGTGTGTATGTGTGTGTGTGTGTGTGTGTGTGCTTTCATGTAGTCGGCGATTAGAGAGAATTAGACATCATGCGTGCGTGCTGCTCTGGCCATCAGGGTCTTCTCGGTGATGGCCTCGTCTCATTTCTGGGCACTGGCTGCGTGGCCAAGGGTTAGGTCTGACGATGAGGTCGGCACGATGTGTTGTGCTGCGGCTTTCAAGGCCTTGAGCGCCACGCGAACGGGGTGCTCGCGTTCAGCCAACACGCTGTTGAATGCTGCGTCAGTATCCTTGCAGATGACTTTCCCACTCAGCCCGCTCTGCTGCACCTCGTCCATGAAGGTGTTGTCCGGCACGAGTGCCGTAAATCGCACGTCCACGGCCTTCACAACCGGCTCCGCAGCAATGCCGAGAACCAGGTCCCGCGCTTCCGCACCACGGAGATCGTTGTGTGCGAGAGTCACCACCACCCCAGGCCCACCTATCGTCAGCGCCGCCCCCGTCGCTGGCGGCTGTTGCACGTCGCGAATACGCCGGAGTGTCGGCAGGAGCGCGGCCTTGTACGCGGCTGGGCCTTCGTCCCCTAGCCGGTTCCCGCTCAAGTCAATCCATTTGACACGGCGGCACCACTCCCTGTCGTGGGCGAGTTGCGTTAGGCGTCCAGCCAACTCGTCGATGGGAATGGTCGTAGAGGTCTTGGCACAGCTGCTGGCGGCGCTGGTCGACTGAGGCTGCTGCCGCTGTTGCTGTTGTTGTTCGTGTTGCTGTGGGTGTGGGTGTGCTGGGGCCAGCGTCACTCTGCGATCAAGTGCGACGTTTCCGTAGTCGTCCAGCAGGTCGTCTGAGAGAGGCGGTGTCGCAAACAGCTCCTTGAGGGCGCGAGAAGTGTCGTCTGCGTCTGCCATTGAGGCCATGGCTTCTTCGAGCAGCTCCAGGTCGTCCTCGTTCATGTTATCTTCGAGGAAGTCCAGGAACACATCCGCTCCAATGTGCGGCAGGTGCTTTGGGTCCAAGTGCTCGACGATGCGCCGCAACACGAAGTTCCGCCTCACAGCCTCCGAACACCCGGCCCGCACAAAGGCGGCGTTGAACGCGGTATTCATAGCCGGGGGTGGAGAAAAAAGAATATGTCGTAGTGGGTGTAGCGTCGAGGGTGGAATGAATGTGATTACACGTGATGTGATGTGACATGATGTGATGTGTGACAACACAACAGATGGAGAGCTTGCTTGCTTGCTTGGAAATATGTAGTCAGAGTTCTATCAAGTGAGGGAGGGAGGGGTAACCTTCACAGCAGGCGACATGCGGGGGGGGGGGATAACGAGCAAGATGGTGACACAAAGTCGTCACTGACAGACAGACAAAGAGACAGACAGACAGACACACAGGCAGAGACACAGGCACAGACACAGACACAGACACAGACAGGCACAGACAGACAGACAGACAGACACACACAGACAGACAGACACACACACAGATGTTAGTTGGCCGGCGCGAGGGCTGCAAAGGCAAGCTCCTCATATGGAGACGAGGAGCCGCGCTCATAGACAATACATGGTTCGCTGGCAGGCGTGTGGCCCATGACGGAGTACGCAGCAGGGCCGGGCCACAGCTGCTGGTACACGTGCCAGCGCATGTCATCTGAGGTGGCCACCTGCACCGTCATGTTGACGCGGTGGGATGCCGAGTGCGGGTTGCTGAAGTAGAGGGCGCCACCGAGCCGGATCAGCCCTGCCGAGCAGACAGGCTCAATGAGCTGCGGTGCCCAATATGGGCCCTCCCACGTCACGCCGCCGTCGTGGCTGAGCGCATACGCACGGCAGCGGCACGCGTTGAGATGGCTGTTGCGCATGTTCAAGACAAGCGTGCCGTTCCAGAGTTGCACCACTTGGCACTCCTGCATCTGCGCAAACACTGAAGACGACACGTTGAAGGTGACGCCGCCATCGTCGCTGTACCACACGACGGCGTTCATGCTGTGACCAGCATGGTAGCCCGTCGCCCCGCACCCCAAAATGCGAGCAGCTCTTTGCTGTCGCTGCAGTGAATGCAGTGGTTGCTGTTGCTTGCTCTCTGGCTCGTCTCCAACTGCGGCTGACGATGGGGGAACAACACCGCCTGCGCTGCGCGGTGCTGTGGCGAGTGCGGCGTGAGGCGGTGTGGAGAGCTGGATACCGGTGCCAGGCCCTGCCAGCACGCCTTCCCATGGGGCGAGGTTGACGCGCTCAATGCTGCTCCACGTCTTGCCGCCATTGCACGACCACCTGTGCTGGTTGATCCACGGTTCTGGAAGGGTGGAGTTGACAAAGCCGACGACCAGCTTCGTCGCACACGCTGCAGAGCCCGGCTGCGAGACCACGGTGGCGTAGGGGTTGCGGTAGGTGTGGTTGCCCTTGTGGTTGCCAACGAGGCGGGCCAGCTCACTCCATGTCGTGCCATTGTCGTGGCTGCGTTTGTACACGATGTCCTTGGGCGACTGGTCTGCACACGACGTGCGCCGCGCTTCCGCAAACACCAACATGGCGCCGTCCACAGTGGCGATCGTCGGCACGCGAAAGCACGAGTACGACGCCTCCCCTGCTCGAAACACCGTCGACGCTCTTCTCACCACCCCTGTAACAGCAGCCGTCGCCGCTGCCGTCGCCGTTGTCGTTGCTGTAACATCCACCACAACTGCCACGGCCGCCACAGCCAGCAGCAGCAAAGCTTGTTGTGCCAGTGTCGCCATCGTCGTCGTTTGTAACTGGTCGGTTGATGTTGTTTGGGTTGTTGTGATGAAGATGGAAGTCTTGCATTCATCACACAACAACACTGCACACCCCAACAGTGCACACCACGGCGATGGATGGCACGGGCAGTGCTGCGGTTGCGGAGCGAGGACAGCAAGGGCGGGCTGTACCCGCAGAGGCGGCAAAGGAAGAAGATGTGGTGGTGCAGTCGAGTGTGTTTCGCTTCTTTGGGGAGCTGTCGCTGGACAGCAGCGATGGCGGTGGTGTTGACGGTGATGCTTCCTCAGCAGCGAGAAGCGGCGATGACGCTCAGGATGATGACCACGCGCGCCACCTTCGAGACGGCGTGATCGCACTTCTGCAGACCCTCTCCACAACATTCGACCAGGGCGCCATCACCCCTGCAACCGTACGTGTAGATATGTGTGTGTGTGTGTGTAGCTGAGTGTGTAGCCGTGTGTGTAGATGTGTGTGTGTGTGTGTGTGTGTGTGTGTGTGTAGATGTGTGTGTGTGTGTAGATGTGTGTGTGTGTGTGTAGATGTGTGTGTGTGTGTAGATGTGTGTGTGTGTACATGTGTGTATAGATGTGCGTGTAGATGTAGTTGTTTGTGTGCGCTGGAAAGACTGGTGCTGTAACGGACACTCCATCGCTCACCATTCATTCTCACCAATTGTGGGGACAGTGGCATCAGCTGGCGCAAGGTCTGGTGGACGAATGCAAGGCGCGCTTGCGGGGCGACTACCTCGAGGCAGTGGAGGAGACACGCAAACGGTCAGTTAGAGAGGGATCCGTGTTGCGGGGTGGTGTCGCCGATCGTGATTGTGTCGTGTGTGAGTGTGCATGTGAGTGCGTGAGTGAGTGTGTGGTGAGTGTGCGAGCGTGTACGTGAGTACGTGCATGAGTGTGAGTGCGTAAGCGCACATGTGTGTGTGTGGGTGTGTGGGTGTTGCATTCTGCAGCCTGCTCTCATCGTTATCGTCTCGTCTTCTCTGATGTGGTGCTCCTTCGTGTGGCTTGTGGGACGCAGCTTGGCACAGCATGTGCCGACGGAAGCGGTAAGATCATCCAGCCCATCACTGCACATGTACTTGCGCACTGTGGACAGATGGACAACCGTGTTCGCTTGCCTCCTGCCTGTCTTTGATTCTGACTGCTGCCTGCGCTGCGGTACTGTGTGCTGCTTTGCGTTCAGGTGGCCGGTGAGCCGTGTCACAACACAGCAATCGTCATATGTCCTCCATCCGAGCTGCATGCGTGTATCCAAGCCATTCGGTAAAGCGGCCGTATCGTGTGTGGCAATGATCTGACGCATTCCCACTGTCTCCATCGACTGCACCCACCCACCCACACACCCACCCACCCACACCCACACACACACACCCACACACACACACACACCACACACACACACACACCACACACACACACACACACACACACACACACACACACACACACACACACACACACACACACACTTATACTAATGAAGTACACTCTAAAAACAGCTTCCCCACATCCCTAGATCCACGAACGCCTATCTCCCACCCGCACAAAAGAAATCAAGAACTCAGATAAAACGAATAGCCCCACGAATGTCTGCCAATGTATGCTATAACGACTCAATAAACAGGAGCCAGGGGCCCCGGAGTCCCGCTTCCGGTTCGTACGAGCTACTGAGGAACCTGAGCAGTACAGTTAATCAGACGCCACCCGAACCTCCGGCCAAGGATCAGTACGAAGCTGAGCCCGCCGGAGTCTGGAAGAGTAGGCGATTCG